CTCAATTCTAACTCCATTTGGTTACAGATGATATGAAGGGGAAGCGTCCTGGTCAAGGCTTTTTAAACTGCTAACTTCAAGGTCTTTATTATTTTTTTTGGAACACTTTGAATCCTAGATGTTTGTGTTCTAATTTTTTTTAAATCTCGCATTTTGTAGTCTGGCCCGCTCTGAAGGCCATTTCTGTAAAAATAATGAATAATTCTCTGGAGATAAAATCTAAAAGTGAGTAGATATAGTTTTATTCAAGGTCCCCTTTGGGGCAAGGACAGTGCGACCTCTGATTAATGAGTTCCCAGCCTACAAATTACATATAACAGAGAAACATAAAGGGGCTTATCTTTGAATTAACATTCTCTGCCATTCTCCCAGCCACACTCAGAACTATTCTGTTCTCTCCCAAATTCTCTCGCAGGACAGGGGGAAAGCACACTGGCTGCATTCAGAGGGCTGTCCACACTGGGGGTCCCTAAGGATCTCCATTCAGCCGTGAGTACTCCATGTTCTTATCCCAACTCCTGGGGTGGGGGTGGAGGCTGGGGGACTCTGCTCACACAGTGCATCGCCTGTCATTTTATCTGGCTCTTATTAACTCCCCATCAGACTTGTCTTTGCCTGAAAATGGCATCTGCTTCCCAACCTGCATGTCTCAGAACCTGGCTGAGTGACAGCTAAATCTCAACACATACCATCACCTCCAGTTGAGTGACAAGCACCCAGTAACGCTGAGATCTACTCAGTAACACTGTGATCTACGCAGAACCACAATGCTCTCACTAAATATTAAGCAGAGCATCATTTCTGAGTTTTCCAAGTGCTATCACCACTGCCAAAAAATAAGGACAGGGCAGGCATTTTGTAGAGGGCAACAGCTTTTCAGAATAGAAACCATACGTTCAGCTCTAGCTTAATATTATTTCAGCCTCCTCCTCGGCTTTCACAAACCACCCAGCCTCCCTTTGCTTCCAACTCTTCATCTGAAAATTGAAGAGGACCAAGGCTGGGCTCATGATAAGAACAGCATTTATAATTGAAGGAATTCAGGGGACAACTCTTATTGTCCCCTGATGATATTGGGCAAGAGTCCTCACATTTATAAATGGTCTCAGCTTCCTTTCTAAAGAAACAATGCTACTAATTTAATCCCTGTTTTATAGAGGGAACAAATTCCTTCTAGGATACCGCCTCAAGAGCTGGCTCTAAGGACTGAAAGCTCCATTCCCAGACTAGCGGTCATCGACTCTGTCAGCACTATGATTTCAAGGCATCTGGTACTTAATTGGGCAGTCTTAACTTTTGACTATCTTTTTGTTAAAATGAAAATTGTAAGAACATAAATATATTCTTAAAAAATATTTTGTAAAGATTATCATGAGTGCATGGAAAGATGCTCTGAGACTGGATCCCACATTTTCTAAATCCTAAATCAGGGGTCAAACAACTCAAAACACTCAGACTCGCTTCTTGTGGCTCTAAGGGTGAATCCAAAATTCTTCACCTTTTAAAATTTGGGCAAATTTATTGTTCTAGAAGAGGGCTCCTTGGGTGAAGCTATCTGCTAATGAAGATATAAAATAAATCACTGGTACACTGGTATAAAATAATACAATGCAAACCTATAAATTGGACTATTTAGTGTTGGGAGTCCATGAAGGGAAGGGTACAGTGCTCTAATTTTTAATACGTGAGATTAGCTATGTCCCCAGAGGGCCAAGAGATACAGTTTTGAGTCTGGGGGTGGAGGGTTGTGGTGAAAAGCTCAGGATATGACTGCCAATTAATTGACTGAGGAAAACATAATGTGTGCCTTATTTCCAGAAATAAGATTGGGTTAACCTCACCTTATACTACTGGACTTGGACCTCATACCCTTGTCTAACTTCTGCTTGAATACGAAAAGTCCAGACCTAATGGTGTGGCTTATCCATTGAAAGAGTATGGAAACCCTACTTAGCAACCATAGTGATATGAGAAAATATTTTATGTTAGGTCATGCAAGCGTGAGTGTTTGTTGTTCAGGATTACGAATGTTCAGCGCTGGAAGGAAACTTATGAGGAATCATCTCAGCAAACAGATTCTGTCTCTTCAGCTAACTTCTCAGACCCAGTATGGCTGCCCGAGGCAGTCTGTGGACAAGGATGTGACGGCAAGTCCCGGCTGAGCAGGGAGGAGTGCTCTATCGGTTACTGATATCTGGCATAGGTGCAGGCATGGGTGGTAACTGCACTTACGCTCTGTGGCTACAAACTGTTTAAAAAAGCCTCTCATTTTATAGCTAAGGAAAACGAAATCATGCAGAGACAGAGTCAGAATGAAAACCCACTTCTTCTGACTACATTTTACCATACTTGCTCTCATTGTATTGCCATCGCTCAAAAAGCTACTATAGGTTCACAATCCCTTATTAACAATTCTGAAATCCAGAAAGCTCTGAAAATATATACTTTACATTGAGGGGAAAACCTGACTTGAATGAACACAGGGTTTAGTATTTACAGCAACTGATTACAGACGACTGCCCCAAACCTTGCTGGGGGTCACTGGCTGATACAAATGCTAAAGTCCAGTTTTCTCTTATGCCTCAGTACAAATGTAAGGGGTTGTCACTAACTAGACATACTACATCCTGTAAGTAACTGACTCTGACACAAGAGCTTCTACAGCACTGATCAAGATTTAGGTTGAATTTCACTGGGGCACATTTTATGGTGATGATCTGTCATGTGGAAATTTATTACAAATCTAACAAGACCATTTTATTTTAGTAAATCTACAACTGATTTTCCTTGGATATTGTTTATAATTCTGGAAGACTGATCGCTCTCTAAATCCTTCCATCATTATTCAGATAAGCATCATGGTCACTAACCTCAGTAAAAACTGCTTGATAATTTTTCTTTTTATAATAAATTTCAGGCCTAGTATAAACAATGAAATTTTAAAGATATGATAATATCCTTCTAGTTATTATAGTTAGAATAAATTATGGCTGACACATGGGAATCTTTACTGTGCAAACCTGGATTGCATTTTGGAAACATATACTGGATGACTCCCAAAGCTCTAGCCTTGGTTTCTCACCAGAGTTTTTGTCTAAAGGAGCAGATCTGGGGAAGATGATGAATTCTGTTTTAAATACATCAAGGCTATGATGAGAGTGGGAGTTAAAGAATATCTAAAAAAATTGAGGGCTTTCTGTGATTTGGGGGTAAATCATTTAATCTCTTTGAGCATTAGTTTCTTCATTTGTACAAAAGAAATAATACTTACATGGTCTGCTTCATAGGAGTATTGTAAAATGAAATGACTCTGTGAGAAAAAGCTTTGCAAATTCTAAGTCAATTTGCATGTATTTTATTACTATGTATAAAGTCAATTTATATCTAGCACTACCACCTCAAGTAGCCTGGGTGCTTCACTGCAGACGTGAGGAAAGTACCCAGGGCTGACCCTGGGATGTAAATCAAATTTTAGAATTTTGTACCCCTAAATATTTTAAGTCTCATATTTATAGCTCTTTATAAAACCTCTTCACCTTCCTCATGTGATAAGGTAATTGAGTACAATAGTTAAGGAGTGACCTATGTAGAAGTCCTGCAGACCTAGGTTTGAATCCTGGCTCAGTCATTTATCAACTATAAGACCTTGGGCAGATGGAGTAACCACACCTAACCTCAGTTTCCTCACCTGTAAAATGGACAAATACAAACAGTCCCTAGGTCATAATGTCATTGTGAGGATTAAATGAGACACTCAGCAGCATGTTTTGCCACATAATAAGCCCGTGAAGTAGGCAGGACTGATAACTGCACCCCCCACTGACAGTCTCAAAGATATCAAGTGGACACACAGCCAGTGTCACAGAGCTGGGGACCTAAACAGAAGTCAAACAACTGCAAATCCCCTGTTAATTCTCAGTGTAATGAAATTCCTGGCAGAAGAAGTTACTTCATAATATCGTATTATTATTCTTCCAAACCATAATCCAAGCAGCAAATTATGTTTGAGCTTTTCAAACCATCTGAAACATAAGAGGATTTCTACCAGATCTGAGTATACAATCCTGTCGTGTTGAGGAAATAGCTGTCCACACAACCAGGGGCAGAATCTAAGAAGCCAAAGAGGCACTGATGTTTGTCCTCAACAAAAAGGGGAAGACTCAGTTGAATACAATTTAGATCACAAATAGGCCAGCACATGACAGGGGTCTGTCTGCAAACCATAGCCTGAGGGCCGAGCCTGACCCTCTTCTGCCTGTCTTGGGGAGCAAGTTTTACGGGCACACAGCCATGCCCATTCACGTGTGCATGGTTGTGAAAGAGGCCATATGGCCCACAGTGTCAAGTGTTTATACCATCACAGAAAAAGCTGGGGACCCCTGTTATAAAAGACATGTGACAGGGGAAAATAAATCTTGAAAATGTCTTCAAATGCAACATTTTATTCCTAAAGTTCTTTCTCCTCACCTTCAGTCCCCTAAAAAAGGCTGTTTTGTTTTATTTGCCTGTTTTGGAAAGTAGCAGGTGAGCCAAGTCCCCCATCCCCCCAAAATGAAAGGCACAGCAGGGCTTTTAATTTGAGAGGGATTTTTTCTGAGAAAAACCAGTTTAAAATCCTGATCTTGGTAAGGGAGACCACTTCATAGACAGTGCAGAGGCCTGACCACTGCACTGTCCACCTGAAGCTGCCATTGAATAATAGTATATGTCAACTATAATTTAATACAGACATAATCATGGGAGGTGGAGTATAGTGTGGGAATGGAGTCAATGGAATTGTAATAAATAAGTATGATATCAGGGGCAGGGGATAGTGGATGGGGGAGGGGGTTGTCACTTTGTGACGGGTGAAAAGGATAACTATTGCATTGTTTGTACACCTAAAACTAAAAAAAAAAAAAAAAATCCTGATACTCAGCTACAGTCACCTCAGTGGCCCTAATGGCTTTATCTCCCCCCGGTGATAAAACTCTGCACATGTACAGATAGAAAAGACTCACTGGAATGTTCTCTTCTTTCATGGCTGGTGCTGGCCTAGAGCCAGGACCTGACTTCTCCTCTTCTGCTGCTTTCTTACAGACGTTCTGAGACTCCCAGGTTTCTGGTGTTTGCGCATCATAGTAGCCCGATTTTGTTGTCAAGCTATTGGTGAATTCTTCGGACTTCGTTTTGCTGAAGAGAAACAAATGCAGAATGATCAAAAGCATTCTTCAACATAGCTTTTTCAAAGCAGATGTCTACATTCAAATTATATGAAAAACAGTAATAGATACCTTTTACTGAGTGTTTATAATGTGCCAAGCCCTTTGCTAGGTATTTTAAAGACATTAATTTAATATTCATAACAATCCCACAAGGAAGGCATTGTTATCCTTACTTTACTATAAGAGGCTCCAAATAATTATATAATTATTATATATTATATATCATCATAATATATAATATATAATAGTTATAATATATAATAATTGCATGTTATATAATATATAACATTACATAATGTATAACATGTAATTTATAATTCTATATTATATAATAATTATATAATTGAAGGCCACATAGTGGCACAGTCAGGATTTGAACCCAGGTCTGTCCTACTTCTGGTTCAGAGGCTAAGCTACTAGAGCATAATGCCTTCTATGATTAGCAGCAAATAATTATTTCTGAATGCCCATTTCTAGTTCTAAAGTTATAGGAGTTGGTGGGCAGCATCACCAGCCCTTGGGAACTAAAGCGAGGTCCGTGAGTCTGTTTCTATTTCACCAGCTCAGATAGGGCTGTCAACACTCAGGGGATAGCAGGCTTCCCAGAGGCCGCCCCGGGGGCTGAAGGGACCCATTGTCTGCCTCGCCGCTACCGCCCAAGTGTCCTTCCTCTATCTCCGGTTGGTCATGTCACTTCTTTATTCTAAAGCTTCTTCTCTTTCCGCAGAATGAGGTCCGAACTCTAAATCGGGCCTTCGAGGCACTTTAGAGCATGCCCCTCATCTCCTGTTATTTCCGTTATGTACCCCAAATGCTCAGGAGGACTCATCATGCCCCAAAGAACCATGCATATCCAAGTCAAGGGTTTTAATTATGCCCTCTGACTGCAATTTCCGTCCTGACCTTCTGCAGCTGAAAAACTCTACTTATCTTTCAAAGTTCAATTCAGGTTTCACCTCTTCTGTGCATCAGAATTACAGGCTCAGTAAGGGCTCTGTTTACAACTTGATTAGAGCACATACATAGCCTGTATTGGCTGCAGGTAGCTGTGTGTCTGCCTGTTTCTCCTCCGAGACCGGAAGCTCCTTGTTTATCTTTGAATTGCCAGTGCCCAGCATGGTGTAAGCACCTATAGGGCCTGCTTATTCTGCTGTCCACATCTAAGCTATCTTTTTTGGAGGCCTAAAGCTTGAAGAGTCGCTGCATTTCTCGCTTATATCCCTGATGCTCCACTGTGTCGGCCTGCATTACTCTAGCACGGTTCTAGCAAAGCCCCTGATCCCTGTGGAAACCATATCCCGATCAAAATGGGAATGCCAAGCGAGGGAAGGAAACCACTGATATGGAAGCCTTGTGGGAGGAAGGGAATCACGAAGAGTCTAAAGAAACTTTCCAGAGAGATCTAAGTTCCTTTTGTGACCCTGAAATCCCACCCCACTCTCTCACCAGATACTGGGAGCCAGAGGCACCTTTGCATTGTCTCTCACTGGTTGGCAGATCTCCTACCTGAGCTCTTCTGCTGCCTTCTGTGCTCTCAGCCGTACCCTCTCAGACACAATTTCATTACAAAGCTCATCGTAGGGTTTGTCTAGATGGTGTTCGCCCATCACCCAGACCCAGACTTCCTTATCGGCTCCCAGTTTCCAATGAACAGATTTGCTGTTTTCTGCAAGCAAAACAAAATTCGGATTGAACAAATATCTTTAGCCCAGGGTTATTATGTTTCCCATCATTAAAGTATGTAGGGTCTTCAGGAAAAAAAAAAAAAAATTAGGCGAAGCAAAGTACTTCCTACCTGCCCAGGAACAAGCAGCCTTCCCAGGGAGCAATGGAAGTGATGGTAGTGGGCGGTGGCTACAGTAACATTTGTTTTAAAATAACGATGAATATGGTTTTTGAACGTGCTCATTTTATAAATGAAGAAGGTGAGATGGGAAGAAAGCGTGTATTGTTTGAATCAAACTTTAGGCCAACAGAGCTACCATCAGATACCAGAACCTCTGAAGTCCAGGCATCCCCTGTAAGCCAGAATTACACAGTGCTGCAGGGTTTGGTGTTTCCACTATCTTTATAGGCTTCACTGCTGCATAAAAAAAAAGCATGTTAGAGTTTGACTGGCTTTCGTTTAAACCCTAACCCTGCCACTTACTAGCTGCGTGGCTTGGACAAATTATTTAATCTCTTTATGCTTCTACTTCCTCCTCTGCAAAATTGGAATACTAATATCTACTACAGAGGCCTGCTGTAGGGAAGAGGTTGACCTAGTGCCTGCCACATAGTAGGAGTTCATGAGAGGTTAACTACTATCATCACCCTCCTATTGTTTACTTATATGACTGCTCAGATTCACACCAGCTTGTGAGAAGATAATACTACTGGTAGTGTGATACTTGGTGAAGCTACTTGAATAACTCTTGTTTACAACTGGTCACAGGGATGGTATTACATTCTAGTTCCCACACAGGTCAAGCTCCCTAAAACCTAGGGAAGGTGGAACATACCTGGGAAAGGCCAAGAGGTGCGGTCTCTAAATCGAAAGGCCCCAACGCTGACCTACCCAGGGCTATTATTATAAACAGTTGGTTCCAGTCGAGATCTCTGGACCCTGATGCCCCCCTAAACCAGCCAGTGGTGCTGAGTATGTGAAAAGAGCACCTGACTGGAATACAGGTTAGGCCATGCTTATAGGTTAGAAATCCACAGGGGGATTGTGCCTTGTCTTCTTACATTAAGTAGAAGAAAGTTTCCAATTAAAGCATCTTCTGTCCCATGTATTTTTGACCTACTTCTTACAGTTGCCTGAGGACATGTTAAAAAAGCAGACTTCTCAAAGTCAGTTCGTTCTTTATTTTGGTGCTTTCCACTCTTCGCAGTGCAGTGGAGACTTTCTGCAGGATAATACAGTTATGAATAGGATACTCGGGGTCGGGGAATAGAATCACAGTCTTCAACATAAAAGGAGTCAACTGTATCATTTGGAAAGAAGCTGACCTCATACTGTTTTGCAAGTGGAGAAAACAGGGGAAGGGAGGGGAAGACCCATCCTGAGTGTGCCCTCCTGAGGATGGGCCCTGGCCAGCTCGGGCTCCGTGTGAGGAAATGCCAAACGGCTCATTAACTTTAGAAAGCTGTCATACCTCATAAAACTCCCTTTATTGCACTCTCTCAGGACAGCTAATAATATTTTTTATTATGTCCGTCTCTCAATCCTCCCCTAAGTAACTCTCTACCCACACTGTGGACAGCAGGGGAAGATGCCCTGAGAGGAGCCTGGCAGAGTGCCAGGAGAGGCAAAGTGGGGAACCCAGGGGTTCCAGCAGCTCTGCTCCATACAGTGCAGCACATGCTCCCAGCAAAAACCATTTCCGGAGGACCAGCAGGCTGCACGCAGCAGAAAAAGGCACTGCTTTGGAGGGTGGGGAAGAGAAATCCAGAGCTGCCTGTGAACAGAGGAGGAGGCTTAGAAACTAAATGTAGAAAAGAAGCCAAAGGAGAGGACCACAGTCTTGAATTTTTAAAACGGGGTGGGTGGAAACAAACAAACAAACAAAACCAGGCGGGTGGTGAGAGTATGGTGAAGATGAAGACGTCATGGGGAAGCAGAAAGAGAATTAGACACAGAATGTCAGATTTACCCAGATGCCAAAAAATGGGCTTGTGACACAGTGACACTGATGATAGGCTCTGTTCTGACTACTTCTCACCTTCAAGACCTCTTAAATGGGCCTCAAAGCAAAGAGATTGGAGAGGCTTCAAGTGGCCCCCTACAATGCCCTGAAACCTCAGGGGAGGGTGGGGAAGTTGTTGTAGCAGAATGAGGGTTAGCTCTGACACCCTCAGCTTCATGCCAAGACAGGGAAAACTATTAAGGCCTCTGTGTAGTGTGTCTCTCTCAAAACTTACTGAGTTCCTGACTCAGCACAATGCAGACAGAGCTAGATGCTGCAGGGGAGACAGGGATAAAACAGATGTGGCCATTCTCCCACAAGTCACCTCGAGTCTGTGAGAGAAACAACGAGGCGTCGGGTTACTTATTTAATGAATTGTATTGTGTCCCTACTATGTGACAGGCACTGAGGCAGATGCATGTAAACGCTTATGAACAAGGAAGACCAGTCCCTGCCCTCAGGGAACTTACATTCTAGTTGGAGGAGGCAGACATTGAACAGTTAATTAATCATAAAAGTAATACACTTGGGGAGGGAGTGTTAAAGGGTGCTATGGCAATGCTTACGAAGAGGAACTAACCAGTTTGGAGGGCCAAAGGGACATAATTCACAGCCACCTTAGACTTTAAGTCCAGTGAGGATTCAGAGGGTGGAGAAATTGTTTTGGAAGGACAGAGAAGAAATAAGAAGAGAAATTCTTTGAGTTGAGTTTTGGACTTTAGACAGACAGAGAGAAGGAATGGGTTTGGTGCCTGACTCAAAATGGCACGATCAAAGATCAGAGAAGGGGATCAATGGGAGGCTTTAGGAAAGCAGGTTTTCAACCAGAGCTGAAAAGTGTTTTAAAAGCCACCTGGCCACGGGCTGAGGATCACGCAGGGGAGCAGAGGGCCACATGCATAGCTCCAGACAGATGGCTGAAGGATCTAAAATGCATAAAGCCGGAAAGTGGTATTAAAATTCCAATGTTTCCACCAACTCTTTATGTGACATGTTATATATATGTGTCATTTTACTTCTCTGAGTTCAAATTCCTTCTTTGATAAAAACAGAGGTACTAAGTCTGACCTTACAGGTCTGTCACATGGTAAATGCTCAGAAAGTATTGGCTCCATGCCCTTGATTGAGTGACCAATGAAGAGTCCATGGCTGGCTGTGCTTTTGGTGCCAGGATCAGAGAAGTAATTTAGAAAGTGGTAGGGCACTTCAGCATGTAGTGTGGATCAGGGTAGTATGAGGCGGGTGTTTAGTGAGTGAGTGGTAGAGAGAACGGGGAGAGACTGGGGCCTGAATAAGGGAAAGGCCAGGAAGGTCCAGGTGGCTGAATCAAGGAAGGACTCAAAGATGATGCCAACACTCTGAGACTTACTGACTGGGAGGATAGCAGAAACGGTGACATCAAGAAAATACATTTGTTTGAGGGGTAAGGTAATGAGCAGTTTTGGAAATGTAGAATTAATTATTTTTAATTTTACTAGAAATCTACATGGCGAGTTTCAGTAGATATCTGAAATATGGAACTGGAGCTCTGAAGTGAGGTGGAGATTGACCAGGTGAATTTGGGGATTGCTCTATAGATGGCATCGTTGAAGCCACCGACATAAAGAGAACAAAGCCTAGAAGAGAGCCTTGGAAAAGCATGTGCTCCATTCGTGAGGAAGAAGAAAAGGGAGGAAAAAGAAAGTCTTGATTCAAAAGAGAGAGGGAAAAAAAAAGATGATTCTGATTCCTAAATAACTAAATAATGTAGCAGGAGATGGGGAGAACTCACTGCCATGCAGCCACGAGAGGAGTAGGGAGAGAACAGAGCTCCACGCTGCTGAGATGAGGGGGGAGGGCTGACGAAGACTGAGCAAGATCTTCGAAAGTCTCCACCTCAGAGAGGGTAATTTTGGGGAGACAGGTTGGGGACAGGTTACAAAAGTGGGACAGAAAGGATGGTAAGAGGTGGAAGCTGTACGTATGTGCTCTAGAGAAGTTTAGTCATGAAGAAGGAAAGGAAGAATCAGTCATTTGTTCACCAAACATTTACTGAGCATCTGCTATGCTTCAGGCACGGCACACAGGCTTGTGAGACAGAAGGGGCAGCTCAGGAGCATAGATGGTTGAAAGGTTGCTTTAAAGAGGGGAGACATGACAGCTTTACACCTGGGTTGTGGGAAGGGGAGAGAGGAAGGGTGCCCGAGGCCAGGCCAGAGGAATGATGGATAGAGAGATGTACAGAGAATAGGTAAAGAAGAAAGTGTTGACAAGGAGTGGAGAACGGCTCCAGTCGACTAAGAGTTAACAACTGATATGCATAGACCCACATTTCTGTCCCCAAAGTACTTCTTTAGGTAAAGGTATAAACTTAAGGGATCCTAATGGCGCAGGCATTGCATCTTGTCATTATTGAATGCTATCCAGCCATTCTGGATTTTGCCTACTTCACCTTAAAATGACATACACTCTTTAATCAGAGGACACTGAGAGGGACCTTTCCATGCACTTACATCTAATTATAGGTTTTTCTCCCAGTCCTTGAATCATGTCTGGATACTGCTGTGCGCTTCCTGTTTGCTCTCTTGGGGATTCTTGAGAATGTCTTCTAAAACCAACTTTTCTAGAACAGTGGGGTCAGTCCTGCTTGATACCCCAGCACAAAGAACCGCTGTGCAGAGACTCGCATCCACACCTCCTTCCTCACAGAAAGCCTCTAACTAGGCAATGTTGTAAAATATCAGTTAAAGTGGGGTGACACATTTCATTGGCTAGGAAATGGCCAGGCTTATTCCAGTCATATCACATCTCATTGTATCTGATTTTTCCCTTTGTGGCAGGCCCCGCCGGGGTGCAGGAGGGAGAGACTGGGAGTGTCAGTGTGGATCACCTCTTCAGGTGCCCTGGTCATCACCACTCCCAGGGCTCTCCTGGGGCTAAGACTGTGCTTCAGAGAGTCAGCACCTGGCCTCCACCTGACTGGACCCAATTCAGAAGGAAAATCATAGTAACAGGCGAG